ACTGTACCAGCAGAGGCCACTGCCTGTTGCCAGGGAAAGATGTCCCAAGCAGGGTCCACCCAAGCACCTACAATAAAGAGGCAAATTTTCTTCAGTAGTCCTCGGCTCTCAATGACACAGCACGAGAGCCTCTGCCGAGGTGTGAGCTGACACCTTCAGAAAATCACCTGCTAATTTTTCTTAAATCTCCTTTTTTAATTAGGGGGGTGAGGCAGCGATGACAAAGGTGGTTTCTCCTCTGGTTAGACAGGAGAAACACATGTTGCATTAGCATGCGATGAGATCCCTGTCCTGCCAGTGAAGGGAACCCACCCAAGCCTGGGGAATGAAACATCACAGTGGAGAACTGCTCGCTGAGCACACTGAATTTCAAGCAATCGCTGCTGAGCAATGCCCACCCTTCCCACGCCCCAGCCCTTCCCTTGCACGCTGACTCGCTTCTTGAGCCGAAACCCCATGACGCTGGATGGGCCCACGCCACAGGACAGCATGAGTGGGACGTGGGCGCTGCATCCCACATGCCGCAGGTGACCAGGGAGCAACTCAACACAGATCCTGGCAGAGCCACCAGCCCAGCCGCCATCCTGCACTGAGCAGCTTCGGTTGGAAGGACATCGCTCTGCTGGGAGCTCTTGAAAGCAACAGAAATGACCCAAAATGCTGCTGTGGTGGACATAAGCCTGTGCTTGTGCTCAGACCAAGAGCCAGGAGATTTCATCCTGGGCACCTTCCCCCTTCCTACCCAAAGCCACTTTTATTGTCTTGATCTAATGAAGTGCAGACTTCACCTGGACAGATCCATAAGTGGCTCCTCTCGGAGGCAATGAATACAAATACTTGACCTCATGAGCTGCGGGGCAGCAATTAGTTTAAGCAGGGGGTTTGTGTAACACTTCAAAAGTCTTAATCCGTGCGGTCAGCCCTGGCACGGTATTTGCCAGAACCTATTGAGTAGTCTTAATGAGTCTGCAAAGCAAGCTTTCAATACATTTTGGGTCGCTTCAGATGCTTTAAATGGCATAGTCTATATGGTATTGTGCGGCTTTAGAAAGGCCCGGGCTTTAAAAAAGTATGGCTCCCTTTCACAGGGCAGACAGAAACCATCTTTAGAGCCGGGACCCTTAACGTTTTGCATATCAATATGGCTGGGGCTGAATGCAGTCACTCAGCTGAGAAATAGGATCACTATCAGCGTTTCCAGGCTTTCACAGGCACTTGGGAAACTTTAAAGCCCTTCGTGGAGAATAATTTGGTCGAATGTCGTGGCTGGAAACAAAACCTAAACAAGCAGAGCGCAGTCCATCATGCGGAGCTGCCAGCGAGGCTGACAACAGGCTCCAGCCGCTCCGACATCCAACCCGCAGCGGGTCGGCAGACAGGGCACTCGCAGTCCCGGGGGGACCCTGCACTGGGCGCGGGGTGCTGAGCCCCTCCCGGCAATGGCCACATCGCTCGGAGGGCTCTGAGATTTTAATCGGCAGAAAACCAGTCCTGATTTCATCTCTTCTTTTATGATATTCCAGTTTCTTAATACTGGCCATAAAGCCTCCAGACTCTGGCACCACACCGGTGGCATCCGTATCTGTCCCCAGTGCCCCCCCCACACGCATGGACCAACACCACGATGTCCCGCTCCCCGCGCAGAAACAGGCGACTGTTTGCATTTAACTCCAACATCATGTTAAGCCTGTCCTTGCACATGTCACTTGTCCCAAAAGCAACCAGATGAGCCCAGGGGCCGAACAGGGCAACAGTGCTTGACCTCAGCTGCAGCCCGGAGCATTGGTACAGAAAATACATCACCTCCAAGGGGCACGAAGGAGGTGCCAGCGGCCGGGACACAGGAGCAGGGAGAGTTGTGCAGGGCAAAGCATGATATGCTGGTGTAAAACCGCCCCGGAGCTGGGATGAAGTGGGTCAGTGCCCGGCGTGCAGCCCAGAAGCGGTACCTGCCGCTTCCATCACCAGCAGCGAGGAGGGGAGGCGATGGCACGCCTGGCAGGGCACGCCTGGCAGGACAGTCAGCTTTGGGATGCAGCAGGATGGAAGAAACCGCAGCCAAAGCATATCTGCAAACAATGCAGGGCCTGAGGGCCCTTGAAAACACATAATTAGCTCACTAAAGAGACAAATACAAGTCACTAGTAAGATATTAGAGGTTAATTAAATGTTTTCCTCATCATTAATGAAGGGAAAACTAGTTAATTCAGATTAAACTAATTTCTGCAGCCTCCCGTGATGGCCCTCCATGGCTGCAGATTTTAAAATCTATTGAGATTATTGAACTGAAAGGTCAGAGTTTGGGGCTTTTGTTTGCTCTGCTTGGGTGAACCCAGGGGAAGCAGGGATTTTCATCCTAAGGGTTAGAAATGCCCTGCTTTATCATCTGGGTTACTCAAAGAACATAAGAAGTTATGTGATACACAGCTCCCTCTCCCTAACCCCAGACCTGGCATTTATTCAAAACTACTGCCATTAATTGTTTTTCTTAACTAGGAAATTCCTGCAGACTATTTTCTGTCTGCAAAACACACCCCACGCTTGGGGTCTGCTGCTCGGCCGGCCTCACGCACCACTCGACAGCAGCCACTGCCTGTGCTCAGCACCGGAATTTGCTTTAGCCAAAGCCCACTGGCCGCACACCCCAGAGGCCAACTGGTTTCCAAAGCTTTTATTGTGGATGGCAGAGCCGTCATACCCACGCACACACACGCACCCACCCACGCACTCTCACACTCCCACTCGCCACTGAGAATGGTCACAGTTAATATAGATTAGCAAGATTTATATGGAAGAATATTTAATCTGGTCAGGGAGGGGAGAGGGGTCATCTGTGGTTTTATTTCTTAAATATTTCTCTCTACTCCAGAAGGGTCCGTTTCTCACCAGAAAAGGTCCGATATAAATTAGAATGAAGGGAGGAGGTTGCTGGCGGGACGGCCACGGGCATCCCTGGACCGCAGCAGCCACGAGCATCCCTGGACCGCAGTGCTGGCCCCGCACACTGCTGGGCAGACCAGGTCCCAGCACGGCGGCGTGCCCTATGGATGGCTCAGTCCCACCCGAAGTCCTGCCCTGTCATCTGATAAAACTTCATGTTGAAGGGTCTGTAAAACTCCCGCAGGCGCTGGACCACCTGCATGTCGATTTTAGGGTGTGGCCGCCCCTTGGATTTCCCCAGGCAGCGGGGCTTGCTGCCGCCCTCTGGCTTCTTCAGGCAGGGAAACCCCTTTGTCTCATTAAAATAGAAATGTTTGTCCGTCACCACCCTCTTGAGACCCAGAAAGTCCTGGACACGGCCCATCTCCCCGGCTGGGTCGCTGACAAGCCTTTCCCCACTGACGAAGAGGAATTTGGAGAGGGGGAAGTACTGCAGCCAGTTGTCCAGGTGCTTGGCATAGATCCCGATCCTCACTGCACTCCAGCTTGTGTCGATCAGTCCCGTGCTGATGTTTTTGAAGGCCAGGGCCTGGAAGCTGGGGATGGTGGGGTTTTTGGAGAGCGTCTGTGTGTAGTCCGAGATGGCGCGGGTGACGGGGTTGCGCACCACCACGATCAGCTTCGTGTCCCGAGACATGTTGTAGATGCGCCGGGGAGCCTCTTTGGTGACAAAGTAGCTGGGGGTCTTCTCCATCGTGATCTGCCCCTCCAGTGTCCGTGGCATCAGGCTCCTGGGGAGAGAAAGGGACACAGTCAGAGCTCAAGGCATGGCTGCTCAGACCTGATGCCACAACGGGGACAAGCAGGAGCAAACCTCAAAACCTGGCCAGAAATGCCCAGGGGCTCCCCAACCATGACTGCCTCTCTCCTTCCGCTCCTGCCAGCCAGGGACACTGCCTTGTCACACCCCACTGGTCACCTCCTCATCTTCAAAAGCCCTCCTAGGAGCCCCTCCGTCTGGGTCTCTCCTTTCCTCACCTCATCTCAGCCTCCCGTTTGTCCCCCCAGGGTCTGTCCCCGGGAAGGGACTCCCTGTCACTCTGCCCCACCAGCAGCACCATCCAGAGGGCACTCGCAGGCTGTTGGTCCCCGTCAGAGGTCTCCCACGACCCCCTTCCCAGCCCTGGAAATCCCGCCTGCCTCCTCCTCCTCCACCCCAGTGAGTTTCAGTGGTGGCGACCAGCATCTCAACACGCACGTTTTGGGACAGGGCTGGTTTTCATCCCAGCCTCCAGACAGATTACGTGGCCTGGAGGTGCCGACTTGCCACACAGGGTGGCAAAGAGGAAAATCTCATCACAGGGGTGTGCACCCATGTGGGCTAAGCCCGAGCAGCGGCTGGGAATGGAGATGCCCACCAAGGCTCCCACCTCCTCTGCCTCCAGACAGCAAGCAGTTAAGGCCAGAAAAAGACTGTTTCCTTTTTTTAAAAAAGGCAGAAAACCTCTCAGGGCCCAGCCATTGTGCTGTGTAAAATTCACTGCCCTGATTGTTCCCTCGTGCACTTTAATGAGGCATTAATTGGCGGAGAAATTACCCAGGCATGTCACCCTATGAGGAGAGCCAGGGGCTGCAGAACGGGTCCCCCCCTGCCACCAGCACAGGCACCTGCCCCAGAGCCCCCCACATCCTCCAGAGCACTTTATGTCCCCTTTCTTCTTGGGGGTGGACACGTTCCCTCTGGCCATCCTGGTGAAGAGGGGACTTGGTTTCCCCAACGGCAGAGCCCTCCGAGCCAAGACTGCAGGGCCAGCCGGGAGGCAGCCCACGGCTCCCTGCGGGCACAGTCCCCAGCGTGGCTCCCTGACACGCAATGCCACCCCAAGCTGCTGCTGTTCCCCACGGTTTCCCTTGCTGGCAGACAGTGCAGATGTACCAGGGGACCGGCAGCTCTTGCTGCTGCGTCCCAGCCACGTCCCACCAGCTCACTCCCACGGCACCCTGCACAGGAGGCCTTGCCGACAGACCCCCATGTGGATGCAGAGACGGAGCCTGCTCTTCATGGGGCTCATCTGGGATTGAAACAGCTTCATTTCCTCTGTGCTGTCACAAGCCACGGTCCCCATTCCCTCCATCGTGCTCAGGGTGACATGCATGCTCCCCCTCCCCAGCCACCTAAACCAGAGGCGTCTCTTGCTGAAAGCCCTGGGCTGGAAACTCGTTCTGCTCGGAGCACAGCAGTGTTCTGCTCTGGTGCCAGGGGCTCAGCCCTGCTGTCCACCCAACCTGGGCGGCTGCCCTTGCACTGGATCTGTCCCAAGCAGGAGGCTGCTCTCCAACAGGGAGGGGACGCGAAGCTTTCAGAGGTTTGCCTAATACTTTGGGAAGTGACCAAACCACTTGAATAGTTCTTCTGAAATAAAAACTACATGTCTGTGTGCACACAGAAATACATATGCAGAATAAGCATGTCCTTTGCTCCCACCTAGGACTTTTCTCAGCAGCTGGCAGAGCACTTAACCCAGCAGGCAAGCGCTGGTTTACAACGGGAAACTGAGGCACCAAGCAATGACATGGCTTGTGCAGGAGCTGCTGTGTAGATGCCTATATTCATCCAGCCAACAAACATCCACCGTCCTAGCACAAAATCCCTTGAATGGGTCAGCAAACCCATGGGGATCCAGCTTGAGCTGCTCCACACCCAGAGGCATCCCAGGACGAGCTCCAGGGATCAGGAAGTCTCTTGGAAAAAATACCGATACCTGAATATTAACTATGACAAGGGATAAAATAAAGCAAAAAAAATCAAGTCTAACTGAGACATTTCACTTAACTGAAAGGAGAGTTGGGACTGGACAGACTCATTCCTACAAGCACTTTCCCTTTTGCCTCAACGTGGAAGAATTCCGGTTTTAAAACTCAAGGTTCCCCCTGGGGTCTCCCCTGCATCCCTGGGGCTGCTCCACCCTGTGTCCCTTGGGGCTCGCTGGAAAGGAGAGGAACTTCCCTGGCCTGCCCCCGCACTCCTCTCCTCCCTCACCCAGGTGGGATAAGGATTTTTTTTAACATTGCTTGTCTGAGGCCAAGCCAACCCACCCAAGGGCAGTGAGAGCTCCAAAACCCTGCTTGGGGGATCCCTGCAGCAACACTGGCAGAGCAGGAGGATGAGGATGGAGCTTCCCGCCGGGCTGCAGCTGGGTCCCACAGCAGGGCCGGCTCTTGGCAGCAGCACTTTGGGGCGGGACGGGGTGTTTCAGGGATCCCCATCACACTGCTCGGAGCGGCAGCACCAGAGGGTTGTGCCTGGCAGGGGAGCGGGGTCCCCACGGCGGGAGGGGACGGGCCACGCAGCAGCCGGGGCTGTGCTGTGGGGAAGCCAGGGCTCTGCCCAGCAGCATCTGTTCCTTATGTAATGGGAAAAGGCTTGAGGTTTGGGGGTTTTTTTCCCCTGGATGCAGAAAAGAACACTTTATTAAAAGCATTTGCTAGCAGTGCTGGGCCCCGAACAACTCCCTCCCCCAAACAAGAGGCAAAAGCCACTTGTGGCTTGGCTCCCCCCCCCCCCCCACCCCCCACACTCCCTTTTCTTTATTTTTTTCTTTTTCATTA